TATGGCAAATCTGTGTCCTCAGGGTTGAAGATCAATTGTCAGTGTGCCTCAAAGTAGCAATAAATCCATAGTGCTAGCTATGCTAAATCTGAAATAAGGACAGGAGCTTCAAAATTACAAAACAATCAAAAATACATTAAAATGAAACTTGTTTGTGAAATGTGTAACTTTCCATCTGCAAGTTTTTTGTTGCAAATCCTTCAAAACCCATGCTTAGACCTTAAATACGTGGATTTTGGAGCCTCTGCTGTTGTAATTAGCTTCTTGGATAGTCTCAGAATCCCATGTGAATCCACAGATGATGGATTAAAATATGCAGTGAGTCATATTAAATTGGTGCCAATTGAAATGCACAGGTTGTAAATCACTGCAGAATTTGACTCAGTAAATAGCAATCATAAATGTAATACTTTGCAATTCTAAGCACTGCGTCTATCTTTTTTCTTTCTGAGGAGCAGAAAAAGCTTCATAAAATGCTAATTCACTGGTCTTCATGGGAAGCCTGAAAAGTGACACTGCATTGGTATCCTAGCTTTCAACTGGCTAAACTAAGTTGCAGAGGGGATGGGTGGGTTGCTTGTAATTGTGTATGAAAGCTGTGGTAGAGCCAGGAACATAATCCAAGTCTCCTGACTCCTGGATTTGAACTTTAAAACCAGATCATGTTTCCTTTGTGCTTTCAGTCTGTATACTGACCTTTAGGAATTGTATTTACCTACAAGTTCCCAGAAGAGATCTACTTTCCCTTGACATGCTTTCCTGGTATCAATTACACTTTTCTTCTGATGAGTATTTTGAGCATATAGAATACACAGAGCAAATGAAAACAGTATTTCCTGTGGAGGTGCTGGGGGCCAGGTCTGCTCCCTGTAGGCTGCATTAATAGCTAATAGGAAGCGGTGGATGTGGGTTCACCACTTAATGCTAGAGAAACATCATTTCTGTAAATACTGTTACACATCCTCTCTTCAGACCTCGTGCCGAGAGAGTGATTGTGCTTACAGTGCTGAGGATGGAGAGGGATCTATGCTGGGTACAGTGGGAGTGTGCTGCTCTGAAATTCTTTACGTGAAACTATTTCAGTCCCTCTGCTTTCCAAGAGTAAAGGACTGTTCCTTTCTTCTCATGTCTCTGTAACGTTACAGAGGCAACAGATAAAGAAGAGGAAGGATATCTAAAAACTTCAGAAAATACCAAGATAAGAAGAAAAAAAGAGAGTGAGATTGTTTCACTGTGTCATGGTGGAAAGCCATGAAGCCTGATTGTTCTGACTTTTGGGGAAGGAGACCTCCATGACCAGTCATCATAAGAACTAGACTGGCTGAGCTCTGGCTTGCTGGACTGTTTGAAATCTCAATTGATTAAAGGCAGGAGCAAAATCATACATTGGAGCCCAGTTCTATGTGACTTCCCAACTTGGGGAAAGTATGTGGGATCCTGTGTTGTCTTTAAAGTTGTAGGTATTCATTATCCTTTTTTCCAACAGTTTTGTGCTATTTGTACATGGAGCGCAAAGTAGTCACACTGCTACCCCAGGCTGCCTGCCAGCTGCTTGATATTTACAGTCTGTAGTGGTATGTGAATTTTCCAACTTACTGCTTAAAAAATTAAGGCTTAGCTCAGTGTCTTGACCTCTGTATCACAACAGAATCTTCACAGACTTAAAAGAGATGATAGCTTTCAGTGCAGCCTCGGGTAAATATTACAGGAAGCAGCTTAGATGTTTGTTTGACGCTTAGCTTGTCTTAAGTTATCTTAGTTGGAGTGATGTGGTATCTGGATCAAGTCTTACAGAATCAAAGGCCAGTGTTCATATATATTTGTTGTAGAATTCTGGGTGTATGTTCCAAATTCTCAAGTTAGTTTGCATGGAGAGTGATACAGAGTTTCAAGCAAAGTTTCCTAATGACATGAGTGTTTATTATAAAAGTTCAGCCCTATCGTTCCATCCAGTTCTCTGGATAGGGGGGCTTACGTTTCATATTGTTTGGGAAATGCTTATGGAAGCTGCATATTGAAAAGAGATTGTGCAGAGGCAACGTGCAGAAGAAAGAGAATGGAGCCTGCAAATAAACTCTCCAGATCTAAAGGATCTGCAGGCACAGCTTCATTACTCCCTCCCGACTTTCTTCTCCCTTTATAGCTACTGCTGTGTGGATGACTGCCTTGCAAAACTGTGAGAGAGCTCGACCGTGGAGGCCAGCAAATCAGAGTGGAACGAAACCTGAGCAAATCAAAATCGTGCTCCACAGGCAAAGAGAGATCACCTTATATGGGAACATCATAGGCAAGAAGATGAATACGTCCGGCTGAGCTGCTGAGGTCAGATCCCAAACAGATGGAGGACATTAATGTGAAAACACGAGTATTTAGGAAGAGAAGACAACACTTAACTTCTGCTTCGCTTATGCAATCTGAGCCCTCCTGTTTGTGTCTTTTATTATAAATATTGTCATGTGTATGTACACATAGGTCTGACTGTGTTATATTAAACATCCATTTCTTTGTGGCTATTCCAGCACCTAAATGCATCCCAGGTCTGTTTCTGGTTCCTACTTGCTCAGTTGTTATGATGTAGCAGGATTTTGCTTGCAAAAGTGTGACTAATACCAACCCTAGCAGTGAGGACTGTGGTCAGCAAAAGCCTAAGAAGTCATCACTGATGTCTGAAAAAATTAAGCCTGTTTGTGCAGAATGTGACTTGTTCCTATGTGCTAAAGCATCTAAGACAATACCGATACCCAAGAAGCCTGTCTGGTCCTGAATGTTTTGTCATGACTACAGCCATAGGCAGCAGCCTAGGTGATTTAAAATACTAAAGGATTGGAAGAAAACCATTAGATCTGTGTTGTAGGGTTTGTATAGTTTATGCCTCTGTGGGTCTTCTATTGCAAGAGAGAGGACCCTGGTCCTTTTAGTCTGGATCTAATGGATTCCGATCCAAACTTCTTGTCGTGCGGATTCTGAGCCTGAGATTTACAGCTCTGCATCTTTACAGCTCCATCTCCTGTGTTTACAGTGTCAGATGGTGGCCTCACAACTGCTCCTTCACCCCTGAACCAGATGCAGTGGGCTTGCAGCACACTGACCAGCTCTGGCTTGTGCATGGCAAGCAGTAGCTTGTCCAGCTACTGTGGAGTAGAAGAGGCTGCAGCCAAAGGATGTGCGGTGTATTGGCTCTGCTGAGAGGAATAGCGACTTTGTCACTCCCTTTTAATCCCATGACCAATCTAAGACCAAATAGGATGGTGTCCTGTGCCAATGTGAGATAAGAAACTGGAGATCTCAGTGGCCATTGATGACCCAAAAGCTTGCTTTACCATTGCCCTGTGCCTTGCATCGCCATTGCTACACCTGCAAAGTGGGCGTTGCATGCATCTGACCAGTCTGGTCATCTTCTTTGCGCTGGTGCAGGGTTTTGGGTGGTGGAGAGTCAGGCTCAGAAGGAGGTCAGTGTGACACCAGCTTTCATCTGTTTAGCCTCATCTCTACAGTTGTCCCAGTGTTACTTCCAACTGGCAAAGTCCGGTAGTACTGAGGAGTGATGGTTCCATCAACAGAAGGTGACATGAACAGCGCTGAGCAATCAGTTCTGGAGCTCCAGGCTGAAATTTGGTGCTTTTTCTGTGAACAAACCAAAGGGTGTGGGTCTTCAGGCAGCTCTTGATGCCATCAGTTGCCATTCTTTAAAATGCTTGTGGTACCATTCTCATACAGGTTTCTGACTGTGCCTTTAAGTGGGGTAGCCTGAGAAGGATGCAGGGGTGGAAGAAGACAATACCAAGTAGTTGAGTCGTTGCGATTTTCAAAAGTCAGTACCTTTCAGGAAGTGCTAGCAATGGGTGTACGTGGCTGGCTGGAAGGCCTGACTCAGTACGACTCTCCAAAATACATACGCGTTCAGAGTGTTACATGTGGATGTGTGAAAGGTTTCCTTTATATAACTGTTGCTCT